ATCATGTCTCACGATTGCTCACATAAGAGATAAGTTTGAAACAGAAAGAAACGTTTGTTTGAAATGTTTTATTGCAACATTATTCCACACCCTCAATAAAGATGATCCTGGCAATCTTGATAAAAAGCTACCATACAGATGCGTTGAATAAAAAGGTAGCATTAAATAAGTCTCATCTCCACCAAATATCACGCCTGTAAACATTTTTTTTTTCTTTATGGGAACACCTTAAAGATAAAGTTTGGTGTACAAACTCAGCAACACCCAATGAAATATGACCTGCAAATTTTCAATTAAAACAGATGAATTTATCATGTGAGTTCCTTTTTTGAGAGACCAAATTACAATAGACTAGCCACTTTCCATCTATCTCTTTATCCCATCTTCTAGTTAAATAAGTTAAAAAAGTAAAAGAGAATGATAAAAGTATTGTTAAAAATGCTATACTAGTTTCGTAAATGCATACAGCATAAACAACTGAATGAGAAACAGCTAAACATCTTATAAACATAAACAATGGAAAATCTTTTTGACTATAGTAAATGGAGATGTAGTTTGGTTGCCAGCATAGCCAGAGCCAGCAGTACATATGCTAATTTTATACCTCGTGTGATTCAACCCCCTTAAAATTAGCTTCAAAAGTCATATGATACACATGTATATACAGTAGGTATTAAAAGAAAGTACATCCAGAACCTTCTCAGCAGTATCTTGTCCCAAATTAGTTTGTATTAGTAAGAAAGTTTAAGAAATATGTTTATTTTGTTTATTAAATCCCCTGAAAAGTATCATCTATTTTTCATCTCCATAACACCAGCATTCTTAAGGACATGTCCATCACCTAACTTAGGTACCTCCACGAGATCGCTAAAAAAAGAGCATAGCATGATGAAAAAAGACGCCAAACTTGACGAAAAACAAAATTTTATCGTCTAAATGTTTGTTATTATTAAGAGGAAAGGTCAAAAGTATTTTGGGGTATTTTTTTCCATTTTTAATCGTTCCTAGCACGTCCGAAATTTTCGTTAAAAATCTAGTTTTTTTTGAGTCAGCAAAATTAACCATTTTTTTTTTCATTTTAAAAAAACTGGAAATCTGACTTTGAAATTTTTTTAAATATCAATTATCATTTTTTCAAAACTTATTTTAAGAAGATCAGAAATTATAATGTTTATTTAAAATATTTTGAACCAAACTTAACTTAGCTTTTGTGTCAAAAAGATGTAATTTGAAAATAAAACAAACCAGGTCATAAACTTTCGCGTCTCTTGACATGTGATGAATGATATATTTACGAATTCCATGAGGCTAATTTTTTCTACGGAAGGAGAAAAGTGAAATAATTTACATTTACGTGAACAAATTATTTACCCCGTTATTTTTAACGAAAACTTTCAGCGGTCTAATTTTTTTTTTTTTTTGTACTTAGATTTCACCTTTACGTTTATAATGCTTTATGGGAAATATATTGTAAAGAAATTAAAAAAAAAACTGTTAAGAGTGACATTAAATTTCATATTTCTTAAAGAAAGGTATCTAATTAATTTATAGGTACCTTTCTTATGAAATTTTATCAGAATTGTACATAAAATACTATAATTTTATGTACATTTATTACATTCTACTGTTATTTGTATTTGCATTCATTTTATTATTAATTTTAATATTTCATTTATGGAAAAATGTCGTAACTGAGATTAATATAAAAATAAGATCATATAAATTTCATAAGATGATACTGATACTTGTAGGTACCCTTCTCAGTTGAAATTGAAAAATCAAATTAACTTCTCCACACGTGTTTCATAAAAGTAAAGGCCTTAACAGCGGAGAACAATGCTTAACTCAAATAATGCAACTTAATTATATTCTGGTTGGTCTTCCGTATTTTATAATTACAGCTCGATTATAAGCACAAAATTACATTTCTTAATTACTGGGTATCTTCTGATTAGTCAAAATGATACAATTTACAACGCGCTAAAAAAAAGATCTATCTCATAAGGACACTTATGAAAGCCGATCTGACTTTTAACTAATTTTATAATATTTTAACAACTTAAATGTAAAATCTATTATAATTAATGAAATAACAAATAATTGTATTAAAAATTCATTTTCATCGAAAATTTTTTTTGCTTTCAGAAAATATTGTCCATATTCATAAAAACAACTAAAAGCAAATAAAAGCATTTGAAATTAAATAATATCTTTGTTTTATCGAGTTTTGTATGTTACAATTCAGAGCTGATTTTCAGGTACTGCGTATCCAATTAAAAACAAAACAAACATGATTTGCATTCCTCAAAGCCCTGTGCTTTTAATTATTGTAATCACTAAAACCGATGCGATCGAATTTCTAGCATTTTCATAAAATTAGTTATGGGGGGGTAATAAATATTTAAAAAAAATATTTCTACCATGACTTTCATAAAAAAAACATATTTATAATAATTTCGATCATCTGTGAATAGTTTCTGAAAGTTTCATTAACATCCGATAATTATTTCTATTTTTGCACAATTTTTCAAATTAATGTGTGTCATACCAAAAAAACGTGCTAAAAATTGTCTATGTTATTTACTAGTTCCACTGATACAAATAGAAAAAAGGTTTTTTTAATCAAAATTTAGAATGTTCTAAAAAGAAGGAAAATTTTTTAAAAATAATTAAAAAAAACTTTGGTCTTTCCTCTTAATAATAACATAAGCATTTAGACAATAAAATTTAGTTTTCGGAAAGTTTGGCGTCTTTTTCATCAAGCTATGCTCTTTTTTTAGCGATTTCGTGGAGGTACCTCACCTAACTTCACTTGGATAAGCAAAAAATCAATGACCAACTACAAAAGCAAAGGGTCATCCCACACACTCCCACCACATATCCTGATTACTTACCAATGTCAATATAAACTCAGGAAAAATAGGACTTCAAAGTCTGTGTTCTTAACCCTTTCACCAAAAATAAGAGGCAAAAAAGGCTGGTCCACTACACTCTAAACAACAAAGAACCAATCATGGCAGTTGCCTTCCTATAAACTTTGTTTTACCAACATCAAAGACACATATTTGTCTATATTTCTCACATGAGGTACTGTATTTATTTAAATTGTTTCGTCTGCTGTCCTCATCTTTATTGCCATATTTATGACTTTTCGGCCATTATACACACCTGCCTTCTTTAGTTGATTGGAATTTTGAACTGAATCCTTTATTTTATCCACCGGGGTAAAACAATTTACACCCCCTGAATGAAATAAAGGGTTCAGTTGAGATAATGCCCACAACTCTATACCTCAATTTATTACAAATTCCAAAATCTTTTCAGTAGATGCATAGTATACACCACACATTTACTAAATACTGGTTTTGATTTCAGAGTTGTCCTTCTCTTAGACTGATTGCCAACCAATCTACTCTGCTATTTAACCCATAGTTAGAGGAAGAAGAGAGGGATTCCTCCCTTTCACAAGGGTAATTTGTATGCAGTTTGCCAATTTCTCTTTCTGAGTCACTAACCATTTGTTTTTTTCTTTATGGAAATATCTTAAAGATAAAGTTTGGGGTACAAACACCCAATGAAATACGACCTCCAAATTTTCAGTCATAAAAAATATGATTTTATCATGTATTATGTAAGTTCCTTTTTTGAGAGACCAAATTACAACAGACTAACTTCTTTCCCTCTGTCTTTATCCCATCTTCTAGTTAAAAAAGTAAAAGAGAATGATAGAAGTATCATTGCCTACTATATTAAATCTTCCAAAACAATGTTTGTTAAATGCTCATTTATTTTGAATGTTCAAACACTTTTAACAAAACCCAGAATGATTCAATTCTTTCTTCAAATTGAATCATAATACTTAAGGAACCACCATTTATCAGTAAACATTCAAAATATGCATGTATTTTTGAGACACTTTGAGGGTATATAAAAGAGAAAAAAAAACATAAACACACCTATATAAAAGAAAAAAAAATGAGTGAAATTAGAGTTTAATTTTGATAATGATAATTGATATGGGTAAAAATATATATATATATATCTTAAATCGGTGATTGTTAGTAATAGTCCATAGAAAGGGTTGAAGCAATAAATATGTAATTCTATATATGGATGCTGAGAATACCAGGAGTTGAACAGGTGAGTCACAAGAAATTCCTGAAGAAAGGAACAACTAAAAAGACACTCAAGAATATATGAGTGAAGATGTTTTTTGAAAATTTAATCCTTACTTTTAATCTTCCATTACAAGAAGAAAGAGAAAAAGGAAACACCAAAATAGAACTCAGGTGAAACTCCTGAACTCTCAAATAATCATCCTATGAGTCTTTTACATCTGTTTGGCAAAAGCAAGAGGTTCTAATTAAGTTCTATTCTAATAATTGTTTTTCTCACATGTCTCACACGTCTGGAATTCTTTTCCAGATTCTTGCTTTCTAGTCACTTACAATGTTCAGAAGTTTAAATACATCAACAAACATTTTGTCTTCCTGAAGACTTTTCTTTTATTGTCCTTTCTCCTCACTAAAGTCTTCTTATTCTCTTCCACTTCCAGCAACCCCTTGTGACTTCATGACATTATCAGCTTGCTGAGGGTGAATGGATTAAAAAAATTAACTTAACTGATGATATTGGAAATAAGCAAGCTGTATCTCACCTGAAAAATTTTCTTTGCACAAATCTAAGGATTTTCTACAGTTTTGATCAGCGGAGGAATGTCAACATTGTAAAATTGGAAAACCTTTCAAATTACCAGTCCTTCTCCAGCATCCAACAGAAATGCAATGAGTTTACAGCTCTTTCCAAAATGATCATTTTTAAAACCAAGCCATAACAACATTTAAAATTAAACATTATATACTTAGTAAATATTTCTATTATATATTATTAAAAAAAAAGTTTGTAATGTAAATATATCATTAGGTAGGTACTACATGAAAAGAAAATACAGTGTACTATATCCTGATGAGGTTTACTTAAATAATAATCATAATACTTACCGAAGCATGTCGTGGATTAATATCAATAGCATGGTTGAATGCTACCAAAGCTTTCCTGTAGTCTTTCAGACCCATATAAACCAGGCCCAAATTATAAAAAACCTCATCTGTCATGTTGGGCCACTTATTTGACTTTTTGGAAATCTAAAATTTGATAATGAAATCAAAATTTTATTAAAATGTGTCGTATTTTTTTTTTGTTAATAACAGAACAAAGAACACAAATACAAAACGATGTATATCTATGGTTTATAGATGCAAAAGTACTTTGTGAAGTACATAATGAAGAAATATGGAAACTGGTGTGTAGCCATTACATATTTTTGAAGGACATTAGGATAATGACACAGAACTGTACCAGAAAACAGAAACCACATCACTTGATGTGCAAAAAGCAGACAAGCTGAAATAGCTTGTGTTCATCTTGTTTGGCATTCAAATGTCTGCACGTCAAGAGTTCCACTCTAGACTGAGGAAAATACTGGTTTAATAAGAAAAAGGAGTAGAATAACCTTGTTAACTTTGAGAAGAGTCAAGTTCTTGAGAAAAGCTGAGTGAAACTTTCTACTTACCTTTAGGACATGGGAGAAATGAGTGTGATTCAGTTCTGTGGGAGTAGTATTACATGTTCTAGTTATAAATATCTGAATTGGTGAAATTAAAGAAGGGAGCACTCATCTGAACATTTCTGATGGAAACTAGTAACAAACTTTTCTTAATAATTTATCCCAACAGAAATAAATATGACATCAGTTATTCAGTATCTTTTCCAATCATGTATAGAGCTTGTTGTTTCAAAATATTTACATAGATATATTCTGAAATCTTTTCTTTGTATAGTTTTCCAACACCTTCTTTGTTGTGTAAGAAAGCAAAGAAAACCACATTAAGTTGAAATCCATATAAGTTTGATTCATACACCCAGCAGAGAAGCCGAAATAGCATGTGTTCGTCTTGTATTCACATATCCGGAGTCCTGCTTTTGACTGAGAAAAACACTGGTGTTATATAGCTGTCTCAGTCCCAGACCCACACTGACTATTGGCTGATACCTGCCTAGTATCGTTCATAAGCAATTAGTCAGTTCCCCCTACTCTAAGCAGAAGGTCTTCTCTCAACAGTGAAAGAGGATGCAACTCTTGGTGCTTACAGCACCACATTCAACCAACTTGGAGTCATTTCTGAGGCTGACCCAATTCCCTGTTACAGACTTGCAACAGTTAAAATGGATATTGCATGTAATTCGAAGAGAATTGACATCTCTTGACATTCCCCACTACTTCAAACAAAAGACTAGAAAGGAAACTCCAATTAATGTTGGAAAGAGTGATAACAGATACTGGACTAGAATTTTAATAGAATCATTTTATTAAGATCAATTGAAAGCAGCCCTTGGTCAATCAATGCCAAATGTTTCCTTATAGGCCAACGGCTAGTATTAATATTACCATTTACTACTGTAGCAAAGATATAATTATAACTAATGAACATACATTGCACATTTTAACGAGAACATAAGTCTTAATTTCTCATATTTAATGTTACCTTTTTATTCAGCTCTGTAATTTGTCAATTGCTCTCAGCCAGCATGCATGAGTACATCCCTGGGCCTGAAACACAGACTTTACATTCCCACCTGTGATGTCTGGGAGACTATCCATTATCACTGGGGTGGATGTTTATATATCTGCCATTTAACTTGCAACTCAGCTGTTCCTATCAAGTAAGTCTGCATTCAGCTGCTGAGAGGTCATCTCAAGTCAACCAAGCATCTAGCTCTCTTGATGGTCTGATGTGAAAATTAATGCAGAGACTATTCCAGCATGATTTCTGATGATACACAATTAACAATTTACTTCTGATTTGTTTGGATCAGTCTTGGAGTTTATAAAAGAAAATATAAGCCACTTACAAGATGTTTTTGTCAGGTTAATTAACACAATACATACATAATTGGTTGTTTCTTGTTTTTTTTTTCCAGTCATGTTTACTCTGTACAAGGCCCATGGGCCACTTGAGGTAGAGGGTTACAGAGTAAGACGTACAGCTTCTGCATATATGTGTAGAAGATAACAGTTAACCTCAGACATGAATGGGTTAAGATTGTAGTAATCAAGGAAGCATCCTCTTGGGAGACAATTTCACAAGGCAGAGGTTCATGCAAAGAAGCAACTCAAGTGGAACTTACATCTCACCAAGGAAATATGAAGGGAATAAAGGTGGTCTGCTACAATATGCATGGCATCATGGGTCTTAATCATGAAGGTTAAAACTGATGGAACTAAGGAGTGTAGTTCATCTGAACACTCTCCATGCAACTAGTGATAGAACAATGAGAAGCTTACAACGTCTCATCTGTGAGAAAGAGATTACAGAGTAGAAAATAATTTGTCACCTACAAGGACACAGAGATGCTTTTTGAACTCTATACTTGAAGTGAAACTCCTGCCCATAATAATTTCTATAAATGTTGAAATATTTTACTGAAATCAACAGAAATTTTTCTTATTAAAATACCAACTTGATGTACAAGTGATGTAACAGTGGCTTGGAACGAGAACTCATTGAATCAAGTTTTTTTTTGTTTGCACAAATATTCTTAGTAAATATATGCTAGGGGTTAAATAGCAAAAGAGCTGTCAGGCCTCTCTAGTCTTGAGATGGCAACTAATCTAAGAGAAAGGAAACTCTGAATTCCAAATCAGCCTGAAGAAGAATAGTCTTCATAAGGCTATCTTGTCCTAGACACACTATTGTTGCCATGGCTGCAGTACATGTGGCATCCCTACAATCCTAATGAATTACACAACTCTTCAAAATAATCTGAAGTGTAGATTAATAAAATGTAGAAAAATAAAGCAAACTGTCACAAGTTCACAGAGTCTCATCTACAAATAGGTGCAAATTCCGCATTACCTGTAATTAGTTTGCTTGCTGCTCTCTTGTTCACTGTCACTGACTTTCTATGCATTCAAAGACAGGTACACAAATCAATAGGCAGCACATCTGGGCCATTCTGTCAACAGTTTCATGTTATAAGCGATGTAATGAGTCTGCACTGGTTTTTCTCTGTTTCCTGGACTCAATGGCATCGGCAGACATCCACCCCACCCCCTCAGCCTTTGTTAAGGTAAGTGAATTTCTTCTGCACATAGCATAGCTGATATGAGTATAAAAAATGAGATCAAATTCCAGCCAAGTTCATTATTTTTGCACAAATGCACTTGGGAAAGGTATGACTCCATCATATATAATAGAGCAGATTGGGCAGTCTAGCCTTGTTGGCAACCACCATAGAAGAGCAAAAAACGGTCCTGAAGAGGGATATGCTCCATTTGACCCGAAACACAACCACATGTAATGTGCTAACAACCCTAATGAGTTACCAAACTTATGATCAAAATTAATATATCAAAACCAAAATGGTTTCTCATGTCATTCACACATGCAATTTTGAAAACAAATTCAGTTAGAAAAATTAGAAGCATGTCTTAGGAGTTGCTGTTTCTTTGATGCCAAGAAATATTGTATAATCTCTTCATTTTATTGATGTTTAAAGCAGAAGATCTGACTTTTTGTAGAAACAAAACTTCAAATTGGTGCAAAAATCAGATTCTCAAAGATGCATTTCTTTCCCAGTTTTAGGACTTACCATAATTGCTTTGAGATCTTGGAATGTGGTTAAACACTTTTCATACTGCTTTGCTTGAAGTTGAGCTTTTCCTAAAGACATCAACAAGTTAGGATTTCCAGGATTGTTTTCCAAAGCTTCATCCAAAATGGCCAAGGCCTGTAAACCAAACAAAAGCAAAATCATTTGGGATATATTGAAGAAAAACAAACAGTAAGCCATCATGTGATGACAACCGTTTCCCCAGTAACTGCTCCAGATTTTTATTTTTATTTTTAATAAAAAGATATTTTTCAAGACATGGGAAATTATGGCTGTTGACAAATCCCTATTGCTTTTAACCGTTACCAAGCCTCCCAACCCCCTGCTTTGCCATTCATTCACACAGGCTTGTTAAGTGCCTTCTCTTATCCCTTTTCCACTTCAAATTCTCTAAGCCCTCCTTCCTCATTATGTGCGCTACAAATTTCTAGTGCTATCTTTTTGGTTTCCTTTTCAATGTCCTGTAAAAGTTAAATTCTCCAAGACTTACATCCTCATTATGTGTTGTAGAAATTTTAGCTGTCTGTCTCTGAATCTGAATATAAGTGCTTTTCCTTTTTCCATTAAGACTTCTTTGTTGCTTACTCACTATTTCAATGGTATTCTCAGCATCTTTCTGTAGAACAACATTTCTGTTGCCTATAGTTTTCTCTTCATCTGTCCAGGATACACTGCCATATAAAAAAATTTATATTACATAAGATTTGATCACTCTTTGTTTTTAACAAAATCTTTCAGTTTCTTTGTTCTTTGATAAGATTTTTGGAATACATCTTTTGTGGTTCCAATGTGCCTTCAAATTTCAGTGTCATGTTTTCCATCCTCTGTTAAAACAATTTTGAGATATTAAACTTTTGTTTTCAATTGAGGTTGACATCTCTAATTTGTAGTTTGCATCACAGGCTTTTTCTTTTGCTGACAACCATACATTCTGTCTTCTTACAATTAATGGTTAGTCCTTAAAATGATTCTTTTTTAACCATTTGTTAGTATCGATAAAATCTTGATATTGTGTGCATTTGGAGTCACAGAAGTACCAGAAAGTTTTATTTTTTTATTAGGCTTTTAAGAAAGCAAATGTGTGAATATTTTTGGAGATAATAAAAATCTATTTAAATATTATATTAGTCAGAAAACATTATTATTTGAAATTGTGATCCACCAACAAAGTGATACTGGAAAACAAAAATACAAAACAAAGCCTAATATACCTATCATGATACCCAGTCTGATAAGGGCATACCAGTAATATATATATATCACTGAAAAATGTGCATGATTTTGTGAGAGGTTTTGATAAAAGCAGTACATGACCTTACAATTGGGATCCAGTTAGATATACTTTCAGATTAGGTAACCCTGTCCACTGAGACAGTCTCCAATTGAAGGTGTTTTCATTATTTATACTAGCAATGACAAAATCCCTTGATGAAACTTTTTATTCATTCCTTGTTGAAGAAATCTGGTATTCTGGATAAAAAGAATTCTAAAAGTTTTGAATTGATCTTTTCTCTATTTTAGGGGTTTCATACTATAAAAATGTCTTCCAGTGATCTCATTAATGGAAAATATTAAGGAGTTAATTGGTTGAATTATAATTTTAAAAAATACTGAAACATATGGGTAAATAGCAGGACAGACTCGACCCTATTGCCTTGGAGAAGGAAAACTCTCACTTCAAACTACCTGCTGATTTGTAGGTCTTGCTTCTTTAAGTTATGAGAGGAGGGATGACGTTGCCTCAGCATTTCTGGTACAAAAGGAACTTGCAAGCCATTGCACTATTCTGCCTTGAATGTCACCATGAACCACAATTGTGAGATGGAGGGAAGCGGTGACCACAGCGGTAGTGCAAAAATGCACTAAGGGAATAAATGATGAATGAACCTAAAATAAGCTTAATATTTTAAATTGCAAGTTTACATTGCCTTTCTAAAACTTAGATAAATTCTGTTAGGCAAAATTTGACATTTTTGTATGAAATTTTGATCTGTCTATCTATTTTTGAAAATCTATTGTAATTGTCTTGCTACATTTTAAAAGGTCAGAGTTGACCAAATTTATTATGTTCTGTCAGTTAAAAACCAATAGTAGAATTTTGTTTTTGATATTGAAATAGGTTCTTGACAAATAAAGTGCTTATAGAAATGTGGCACATGGCCACTCAGCTAGCAGCATACACCAGGGAGGAACAAATGAGCAGTGATCTAAATCTGCAGAGAACATGCTACCACATCGATGATAACTCACCAGTTTGCTATTACCATCTCTTGAGCTTGCTGAATCTTCTCATCAGTGATGGAGGTAGACAGATGTCCTGCTCCTTCTTCATGTGTCATGCTCCTCCGGCCACTTTTAAAATTCTTGATCCACTCATACACTCTTCTATACAGTAGTTAACTGTTGCTGTACTGTGTTAAAAGCTGCCTATCAATTTCAGCCCCCAACACACCTTCTGACCAGAGAAACCGGATCACTTCTCTTTGTTACTCCTTGTTGCACACTGATAGCAGAGTGGTCATGTTTACACTGTAACAGCTGCAAGAAAACTGGTGTGACCAAGCTCAAATTTTAATAACTTGACCAAAATAGTACCAACTATAAGTATACATGAGCAGAAACGAGTGTGACCAAGCTAAAGATATGGCAAAAGCATGGATAGTTTTTTTTACTTAACCTCACATAGTTTTATAAGACATGATGCTAGTAACCATATTCTGAATAAACTGAAGTGTCATTACAATATGAAAGGATGTATAACAGAGCATTAATAAAATAATGTTGGACATTAAAAATAATAACGTTATCACTCTTCTTAATAATGATTTCTTTTTTCATATTCTCTTCCACTCAGTAACCACTTGCATCTTAGTGGCTTTATTGCCTTGCTTTGGGGTAAAATGATTAAAAATAACCATATCAAGTTAACTTTTATTCCCTCTTCATAAATATGAGCTTCTTTTCCAAACAAACTAATATAATATCTAAAATTATCACGAGGACATTCAGTAATAACAAATATATATTCTAATCATGTAGGACAATGAAAATAACGTAATACTTTGTAGTCATATTGAACATTGAAAATAATAATCATCCTTATAATTCTTGCACCCATTTATAATTTGTGTAAATGAATTTTCTCTGATACTTCTTTTTAACATATTGGTGAGAAAAGAATTTTCAAAAGGACTTTTCACTCATTAAACATTGAAACCTTTTTGCATAAAAAGGAATCTAAATGAAGATTTACCTTGTCAGATTTGTTTAAGTAGGAATATACAGTAGCCAATTCTGCAGACATGTCACTGCCAATGTCCAAATCCACATTTGAGATTAATCTGACAATAGAAAAATCAGTTTTTGTTATTCTTCAATGTTATACAAGTACAGATAATGAATAGTAGCAATCAGGCATTTATAGCATATGTGATAGGAAGGTTGAGTAATGGCTAGTGGCTCAGAAAGTGAAATCAGGGATAAGTGCAAAAAAGAATGTAACAAACTCAAACTGGATTTGAACACAGATATCTTCAGGTAGGTATGAACCCATCTCTTCGCTCTTGCCCAAATATGAATTACATAGCAGGGTAGCCTGGACTCTCTAGCTATGGTTGGGAACCAATTTAAGAGATGGACAACATAGAATTCAAAGCCAGTATTTAGTCCTAGTGAAGTGCCTATAATACAGCAGTTGAATAATTATGGAGTCCATAATTAAATTCAGTTGCAAACTCTATTAGCTCAAATGTGATAAGAACACAAGCTGATCATACTCTAGAACCAATCTTCTCTCCTCTCACTTCCCTGTTACCCTGAACTCTTTACAATCCTTGTTCTTTCTCTTGAATATTTTCACTCAAGGGTTACAGTTTTTAAATTACTTTTGTTTATCCTGCAAGTAAAATGAGAATGTGGCCAGCTAGGAGGCATAGTGAAATAATTGATGGCGGCTCAGATTGAGAAATCAGAGAATGGATTCCAAATTCTAATCATATCCATTACATTCACTTATGTGCTAATGCCCTTGGGAAAGGTATGAATCCTCTTCTTCTCTCCCCCCCCCAGTTATGCAGGACAGACCAGATTCTATAGCCTTGGATGGCAACTGGTCTACTGCAGAAAGAAATGTCAACCAACTGCGGGAAAAAAATCAGACCCGTCAGTCATGTATCGAAAGATACATGATTGCCTAAGCATATATCACACATGGAACATAACTATCAGCATATATCACAGATTTTACAAGTATAAGCCTTGATTTCAAAAATTGTATTAGCTTTTTGAATCAGATTTTGTTGACTTTATAAGTAACCTTGATTAACACCTAACTGTAAAGATGCAGAAAAGAAATTGTTACAATTTGTGTAGGTTACATGACAAAAAGATAATTACAGTGAATGTAATTCAAAACACTACCATACAGGTAAGAATTTTAATGACCTAATCTGATTCATCATGGTTCGGACCTGGTGGGCATGGAATTCTGATAGTTATATATTGCCTAAGTTTTTACATAAGACTAGCAGTATAACCTGTCTTTTACCAGGTCTTTCATTACTGGGAATTTTTGCCATTCAATTGGATCAGTTTAAGTTTTAAATCAGCTCACAAAAGTCAATATTGGTAACAACATTTGGGTGCAACTGAGGCACATTCCCAAATGGTTGGGGGAGGGGGGTAAAAGGGAACTATATAATGAATAATATTATTATAATAATTTAAACTATTTATTTTTATTCAAGTTTTATAAAAAATATATATCCAACAACTGATAGTAAATAGTAAAACATTGCTGAGAGTTATAATGGACAGGAAGTAGTGGAGAGCCATTGTCACCAACAATTTGGAATCAAAACCAGCACTGAAGAATTATCAAGCAAAAAAATTTAATCAAAATCGAATGAAAACTGTGGAAACACATAAACAACATCCAATCACACACATACACACACACATTTTGAGAATTATAGATATAACGA